TGTACAATTACAGAGTCTCACTACAATTAGTGATTATAGCACATGAGGTGATTTGTGAGAGCTGACGTGCTTATGGGTTTTGGAGCATGTTCTTTGGTCAGCTGTAAGCGTAGTAAGCTACTTTTTTACTAATTGTTGCCTTGTAAATTCTCTTTCAGAACTATTATCATTGTTTAAAGGTATTTGCTGTTTCCATATTTCATGATTAAAAGCAAATTACACTTCTGAATGAGTATACCAACTCAAATCATGGCCTTGTTCCTGCTGTGATCATCTTAAAGGTCTCATTGTATGGCAGTGGATCTCTTTGTAACTCACCCTTCCTAGGGATTCTACCTATTGAGGGGAATGTTTCTATGTACAAGGGTCTTAACGTGCATAGCCACTGCCTCTGCTTTGCTTTTGTCATTCTCAGCTGAGGTAAAAACCCAGCCTCAGTGGCCTTTCATTTCTCTTGGACTCTGGCAGACCCCTAACCAGGGAGGAGGTAATCTGGATCGACAGCTCTGCTCCCCTCTTAAGTCGATAGCAGCCAGCAGGTAAGGCTCTGTCTCTGTCTGCAGCATGGCAGACACTTATTAGAGGTAATGTACTCCCATCATCCATCTCCAGGTGGGCTTCCGCCATTGATCTCAACGCCAAGGCTTGTCACTAGCTGCTCCTCACGCAGTGAAAGCATGAGTCGCCGCTAGCACTGGCTTCAGATGACCCAGCTTAATGTTCTGTCAATAGACTCGCAGCTGGGCAGCCAGCATTAGAACTGTGAGTTGACTTGCACAGCAGTGTGACATGTTTTCCGTGCAGTAGTCTTCAATGCCTAAACTCAGCCTGGACAAACAGAATAAGACACATAGGTTTATGAAACTAAGATATTAATCTCCTGTAATTGTATTCATTTAGCAAGTGAATTCACATGACATCACTCAGTAGGAGAATTAACATCTATATAATATTTCAGTTAGTTAGTATGGACCCATGTAATACAGTGAAATGGGACAAATCTTTCTGTGATTCTAAGGCCATGTTCAAACAAAGTATTTCTGCGTGAAAAAAACCTTCTCTCATTTATCTAACTTTTGTATAATTGGGGAGGCCTTATGACATATGATGTGAAGTGGCTGAAATGAGTTTCCTTGGCAGGGTGTATGGGCTCTCCCCTAGGGAGAAGGTGTGAGTAACATAGACATATACAGTGGGTACAGAAAGTATTCAGACCCCTTTAAATTTTTCACTCTTTGTTTCATTGCAGCCATTTTCCAAAAATCAAAAAAGTTCATTTTATTTCTCAGTAATGTACACTCAGCACCCCATCTTGACAGAAAAAGACAGAAAGACAGAAATTTTTGCAAATTTATTAAAAAAGAAAAACTGAAATATCACATGGTCATAAGTATTCAGACCCTTTGCCGTGACACTCATATTTAACTCAGGTGCTGTCTATTTCTTCTGATCATCCTTGAGATGGTTCTACACCTTCATTTGAGTCCAGCTGTGTTTGATTATACTGATTGGACTTGATTAGGAAAGCCACACACCTGTCTATATAAGACCTTACAGCTCACAGTGCATGTCAGAGCAAATGAGAATCATGAGGTCAAAGGAACTGCCTGAAGAGCTCAGAGACAGAATTGTGGCAAGGCACAGATCTGGCCAAGGTTACAAAAAAATTTCTGCTGCACTTAAGGTTTCTAAGAGCACAGTGGCCTCCATAATCCTCAAATGGAAGACGTTTGGGACGACCAGAACCCTTCCTAGAGCTGGCCGTCCGGCCAAACTGAGCTATCGGGGGAGAAGAGCCTTGGTGAGAGAGGTAAAGAAGAACCCAAAGGTCACTGTGGCTGAGCTCCAGAGATGCAGTCGGGAGATGGGAGAAAGTTGTAGTAAGTCAACCATCACTGCAGCAATCCACCAGTCGGGGCTTTATGGCAGAGTGGCCCGACGGAAGCCTCTCCTCAGTGCAAGACACATGAAAGCCCGCATGGAGTTTGCTAAAAAAACACCTGAAGGACTCCAAGATGGTGATAAATAAGATCCTCTGGTCTGATGAGACCAAGATAGAACTTTTTGGCCTTAATTCTAAGCGGTATGTGTGGAGAAAACCAGGCACTGCTCATCACCTGTCCAATACAGTCTCAACAGTGAAGCATGGTGGTGGCAGCATCATGCTGTGGGGGTGTTTTTCAGCTGCAGGGACAGGACGACTGTTTGCAATCGAGGGAAAGATGAATGCGGCCAAGTACAGGGATATCCTGGACGAAAACCTTTTCCAGAGTGCTCTGGACCTCAGACTGGGCCGAAGGTTTACCTTCCAACAAGACAATGACCCTAAGCACACCGCTAAAATAACGAAGGAGTGGCTTCACAACAACTCCGTGGCTGTTCTTGAATGGCCCAGCCAGAGCCCTGACTTAAACCCAATTGAGCATCTCTGGAGAGACCTGAAAATGGCTGTCCAACGTTTACCATCCAACCTGACAGAACTGGAGAGGATCTGCAAGGAGGAATGGCAGAGGATACCCAAATCCAGATGTGAAAAACTTGTTGCATCTTTCCCAAAACGACTCATGGCTGTATTAGATCAAAAGGGTGCTTCTACTAAATACTGAGCAAAGGGTCTGAATACTTATGACCATGTGATATTTCAGTTTTTCTTTTTTAATAAATTTGCAAAAATTTCTACATTTCTGTTTTTTTCTGTCAAGATGGGGTGCTGAGTGTATATTACTGAGAACTAAAATGAACTTTTTTGATTTTTGGAAAATGGCTGCAATGAAACAAAGAGTGAAAAATTTAAAGGGGTCTGAATACTTTCCGTACCCACTGTAGAAAGGAGCCTAGAATGAGAAATGCTGCTGCTTTGAATTAAAAGAAGCCAGTTGAGGTTCCTTGGGAATCTGATCAGGATGCCTCTTAGACGCTTTCCTGTGAAAGTTTTCTGGGCATGTCCAGGTGGGAGAAAATCCTGGCGAAGATCGATTGCACTTATTCTGAAAAGGCCTTCAATCCCACAGAAGGAGCTGGAGACATGTCCCATTTGCTACTTTGTTTGCTTTACTTAGCTTGCTGCCCCTACGACTGTATACAAATGGATTAGAGTCTGCTACATGCTTCATGGTGAGCGTATAACTGCATGCTTGCTGTTTATCATATTTGCTTGCAAATTAATTTGCTGATGTATTGACGTGTATTGCCTACTTGTGTGCTTTAATGCAAATATAGTTTGTGCAAATCTAGTTCAGCTAGACTCTTTGTGAGACTATGATAAGCAATATCATGGAACAGTTTTTGCATGTTACCACCAACACACTTTAATCCAGATGAGTCTGCATGATTCATGGTTTCATCCCAATTTACATTTACATTTACATTCACTCATTTGGCAGACAAATTTGTGATCCAAATTTAATTGGACCAGTTCCCAGAAGCTTGACTAAATGTTAGTGTTTTTTGGCCACTTGGTCAACCTAGTTCAGTGGTTTAACCAATGGAGAAATAAATGCGGGGTTCTCCCTGAAGACCTCATCAGATGCCAGTGAATTGAGGCCATCTGTTGGGGACTGTGTTAGTGAAGTGGCCATGCTAAAAACAGACAACACTGTGCAAATGAGTCCAGTTGTTTCTCCATTTACAGTTGTGCTTGAGACTGTTCATCATGGTTAGGGTTTACTTCACAACCATTTTAGCTTAGCATTATGTTTGAAAACATAAATAAAGCAACCTTTTTAAAATTATTATTATTATTAATATTTTTTTTTTTTTTTGTGCGATTTGGTGCCCCCCGTGATTCAATGCTGTTGTATATAAGGACAGCTGTATATGTGTGTTTGTTATGATTACATTTATGATCAAAAGCTAGCAAGTTGCCAACTTTGCTAACACATCCAAACATTAAGACATTGCGACAACACAAGACATAGCAATATTACTTACTTATTCAACTGTGTACACAGAAAAATGCCAATTCGGCATCAGTCTTGCAGCATTTTATTTCATGAAGCTCTCGCCAATGTCCAGAAGCCTCTTGGTTGGTCACTGTCCTTTTCTCTTCTTAGCTTTTCCCGTCAATGCACTCTTTGGTCTCTTCACCTCTGCCATTAGCTAGTGTTTTGTCCAAAGAGGCTGCTGGTTATGTTGGCCACTTGCCCTGCTCCGGCACAACACTGGCGCTGCTCTCCACCAGCTGTTATTTTATGGTAGAAAAGTTACATAATATTGCTCGATCACTTGCCGCTAGCTATAAATCTCGAGTTGATGTTAGCAAACTTACTAGATATCACACTTGATATTGGTAATGTTACTGTAAGTGCCTGCTCGACGCCGGTGCCAAGTCGACACCTTTGCTAACACATCAAGCAAGTGCAACAACATAAGACATAGCAAGCCGGCTAACAAGTTGTTACTGACTAGTCCACAGCAAGAAGGCCAGCTCGGCTTCTATCTTGCATTCTATCAGCTCTTTTAGCTCATGCCAATGAGGAAAAACCAGTCCAATGTTTACTCTTGTCCGGTCTCTTGCTCAGTTACTCTCACTTTTTCTCTTCCTTGCTTCTTCTGACGTCTTCTCCGGTCACTTCACAACCTCTGCCTTAATATCCATACTGAGAATACCAATGTTGCTTTAAAGAGAGTAAGTTTGTTCTTGTGTTTATGATATCCTAATTCTGGATGTGACTTTTTACAATTGTTAACAACAAAACTAAACTAAATCCAGGAAGGTGGAAGGTACCATCAGGCCATACTGTATTGAAATTGTTGTGTTGAATTGTTTCCAGCATAAGTAGAGCATATCAACTTCGTTTTGTTTTAGTTGAGGCTCTATGTGCTGTAAACCACCAAATGGCACAAATTGATTAAACACCCAGACAACAACACAGCATTTCATTTTTACTGTGATGTCCTCTTTTTTTGTGCCACCAAACTAATTTGAGAATAATATATTAGCTAGAAAATTAGCTAGGCAAGGCTTTGATTTGAAAAGAAAACACAGACACTAATAGATATAATGGTGTTAAGTTCATTTTATTTCTGTAATTGTGTCAGTTTTTGCCACACGACATTTTCATTTTCATTACAACTACAGTTTACAATGTCTTCTACCAACAAAATATTACTGTAGCCTTAAAAAAATAAATGAGCATTTTCTTTTCTTTTTTATAATTATAAACGTAATAGTTTTCATTGAACATTCATTGAATATTAAATGCCTTAAAACATATTTATTCTCCCTATCAATGACGTGTTACACATTAATTACAGTTCACAAAAATATTATCATGGATGAGTGTAACATTAATTTATCATGGTACAATCATGGTACAATACATATAGCAGCTGGATTTACTCACAGGGATTATTATTAGTTACTTTTTATGAATGAGATGAAGAGAAAACTGACTGAATAAAACATGACAAATATTACATTCTTCTACATGTATCACTGAGATTAGACAGCAAACACCAAGTAGAAATATTAACATCAGAGGTAAAACATTAAACATTTATAGAATATAACATCTGGCAGGAATGGTGGAAAACAGTTTGCATCACTTTATTTTAAGGCATTTATATGTGTACCCTTCACTAGTATTTCACTATGTAATTTTATAAGCTTTTCATCTAAACATATAAAAATACAGTAAGTATGTAAGAATAAACATGCATGTATGTTTCCTACTTGTTTCTTGACATGGATTCTGAAATCACATGGTTCACGTTCACTTTGGCTGATGATAGATAGATACATAACAAAGAGATTTGGACACAGGAGAACAAGTATCCTCACATTTTCACAGCTAAAGACCACTGATTCGATTTGCCCTAACAAGACCGTAATCTTTGAATGGACATTTTTTGACCAAACTGGCATGCATGTTGTAGATTTGCGTAAGCCATTCTAATGTTACCAATAATTTACAATATTTTTGAGTATCAAAAATAGTAACCATAGTTAATTTAATATTAAATAAGTGCCATGCATCTAATGAAATGAGGTGGTAAATTGCACATGTACCCTCACTGCACTTACTATTTTGTTATTGCACAATGAATTCTACCTATCTAAGCACTTATGTACACATGAACACAGTGGTTTGCCTCAGTCACCACTGGACTATATTTTGCTTATATAGTAAAGTAGCACTGTTTATTACACCCTACACTTATTAACCTATTAGAAAACAACATACATACAGTACAACTAGACGACTTCAAATGTGTCACTGAAACCATATCACCTATGTTTTCCCTCTAAACACATTATTTATAAGCAGTCCTCTACATTTACAATGCAGTAATTCATTCATATCTTTAAATAAATATCTTAAAGTGCCTCATCAGACAGACTTTGCATACACACAACCTCTTTGGCAACCATATGGTGTCAATGGAATCAAGTAAAAATAGCTTAAGCACAATAAAATGGATCTTATAGTATGAATGATCCATTTTTGTTGTTGTTGTTAACGTAATAGGATACACCAAGTGAAACAGTTTGGCAGGATCACATTTACAGGATGTCATGATTCTTATAAGTCACCTCAATATACTGCAGGTATTTTTACAGAATCCTATTATGTAGATTACATGACAACTCTATATGTGTAAGATATACATTGGGATCACTCATTTGATTCACTATGACTGAGGAGTTACCACCCACATCAGTGCTACAAAGCAGGCATGGCTTTAGTTTCCTAAAGGCAGCAGACCAGTTAGTCTCTGTCTACTGAGTCGAGCGAGGTCATAGTAGGACCCGAAATCATTCTGATGTGTACACACATCCAAATGATTCAGCGTCAAAAAATGTTTTCCAGTTTTAATTCACATTTTTTTATATTTACATACAATTTTAAGGCTTTGCACTTTGTTGTTAAAGACTAACACTATTGCACTGACAACAAAGACACACAAAGGCATCTCAACTACTAAGTCTAAAGCTAAAGTCTAAGTCTAAGAGTGTTGAGTGGAGCAGCTGAGTGGGCGTGCTCTCTCAGTATTGCTTACTTCCCTGATTTATGAGGCTGGCCAGCACTCTGGCTGCTACAAGCCAGTTTGGTAGCTGCAGTGTTGCCTCTATTGCACAGGTCCCTGATTTCCAGCAGGCCCTCGTTCAGGGCTTTGACGAAAACGGCTGAGCTCGTCTCTGTGGTCTCCCAGAAACTAGACACACAGAAGATGATGTGATCTGACTGCGGGTTGTAACAGGCGCCATAGCCGTTGGGCACCACGGGGCCGTAGCAGCAGAACATTTCCACTGTGGTAGGGACCTGGAAACAAGAAGACACAGTCTGGGTTAGACCAGTTTAGCTAGTCATGAGAATGAGCAGTTTAGAATCTGAGAAAAATCTATCATAAAAGGGCTTCAACTAACACTTTGTTATTGTTCAGTCTGTTGAATCTTTTTCTAATGAATAATTTAGTCTATAAACTGACAAATAATAGAGACAAATTCTCATTACAAGTTCCCAGAGCTCAGACATAACACAACAATATTGCATTTGCAATGATATTAAACAGAAAACACAGCAAATCCCCAAACTGACAAGTTCAGACGAGCAAATGGTTGCCATTTTTTGTTGAGAAGTTACCCAAAATATACATCATATGTTGACTGATTAACTAAGCTCTAACTTAGATTTTCTACCCAGTAAGTAAGATTTTTATCACTCTTATCAGTTTACCTCCCAACACATGCAGCGACTACTGGTTTAACCCTGCAGGTGTTACAGAGGTAAAAATCTTTCACTTGGTCAAAGTGCTGTTGAACTATGTTAGGAAGGGAGGGAATCTCATATCATACTATAGTAATTCTATGTACTTCTTAGTCAGTTGAATATCAATGCAGCTGTCAAGTTCTGTGAATGTGAAGTGCAGTGACTGTATGTACTCCATATGACGTGTGGCAAATTTAAATTACTTTAAGTGTGGGGTTCAAGTGCTGTCGGGAACGTTAAAGCTAAATACAGAGATGGTCTAAGTGAATAAACTGCTGAGGGCAGTAAGTGAGAGTGTGGTAGGGTCTCCAATTAAAAAGACTCTCACAGGAAGCACAGCGCCCTTAGTGAGGATCCCAAACATCAGCATAAACAAAAATTTTTGTTGACAAAATTTTGTCGTCTTCTGCATTTTGTGGAGTTTTGTTGCACTGGTTTGTGTTTTCTCACCTTCAAAATATATACACACAACTGTGTTAAATTTGAAGGAAACACAACATTAGTAGGCTAGGTAGAAACACATTTGCAGATGGCGGTCAGGTTATCTTTCTCAACATGTACAATTAGAACAGTTTAAAGGTCAGTGTGGACTTTCAAGAGAACTTGGTTGATCACCACCTTCTTGAAATTCAAGGTCAGGTAGTGAAAAAGCAGAGGAAGTTGATGTTCATGAGCTCCAAGATATCTCTCTTCATAGCCTAATCAGCCTCAAATTCTAATCTCTGTATGTACAGTATGTATCTATTTCTGTTGCAGTGACTAACGGTGTTTCCCATTTCTGTATCTCTGATCACAAGAGGAGGAGGTTAGGATGGAATATTAAAAAGCAGCAAAATAGCACCAGCATTTTCTCAACAGTATCTCTGTATTCTCCATCTTCAAACAATATCTCTGAAGCCAATTTCTCTTTTCATCCCTGTGGAAGAATCTACCTTTGTTTCATCACAGCATCTTTCCTGAGGCAAGAAAAATGTGTATATGTATGTGTATATGTATGTGTACATATACTGTACTTTCTAATATTTGTCAGTTATGGGCACAGAAATTAAAGCAATAATTTCAAGTGAGAAAACACTATATATTAGAATATAATGAGATTACATGTTACCTGACTGGTGGAGAGGATGAACTGGTTACTGGTCAAATATGTCACATCACAGAAGATCTCTGGCTTCTCCATGTTGAGCTCCTGTGCCATCCTTAGAAGCCCGAGGAGGTGATTGTCTATTGCCATTCCTGTAATGGCCTGAAAATTATGTTTTTGCTTAGTGTTAAAAGTATTTTCAATTAGGACCTCAGTATGAGTACATACTTGTTTTGTGTACAGTAGATTAGTAGAAACTGTTGATGGTTGGAATAGAAATACGACACCTATTGTGGACAACATATACATTTTTTTCCTGCCATTACATGTGGTCACTATTGGAATCTATTGTTACAAATATCAATTCAAGCTGACCGCAGCTGCTTCCCTCTGTGAAGGATGATGAAACAAACTTTGTACAGCCATTTTGGGAAAAAAGTTTAGTTAGTTTAGTGTCTTTCTTGCTGAGAGTTAGATGAGAAGATCGATAACAAACTTATATTGTTAAATATGAAGACATTTAGCTTAGCTTAGCATAAAGACTGTGTGGGTGGGGGGCTTGTATACTAGACCCTCTCTTGGTCTTGCAGTGACTTCCTGGAGTCTCCTTTTTGGCCTGGCAAGGTCACAGTGAGAGCAATACTCCACTGTCCTTGCAGCTGGCCAAGAAGTTGTCTATAAAACCACAAATTGATGTTTGTACCCTTTTGGCTTAGTGAGCAGTTTCCATCTACTTCCAGTCTTTGTGCTAAGCTAAGCTAACTGTCTCCTGGTATGAGAGTGGTATCAATCTTTTCATCAAACTCTGAAGTGAGTAAGTGCATTTCCCTGAATGTCAAACTATTCCTTTAAGTCTCCAGGGAGTTAAGTGTTTGATACTCAAAAGATACATTTTAGACAATGTAAATGCTCCGTACTTGTATAGCGCCTTTCTAGTCTTTTCGACCACTCAAAGCGCTTTTACACTACATCTGCATTCACCAGTCACACACATTCATACACTGAGCCTAAGTGCTCCAACAGAAACTAACATTCACACTCACTCATACACTGGCGGAATAGCTGCCAGGGGCAATTCAGGGTTCAGTATCTTGCCCAAGGACACTTCGACACGCAACCAGGGGGAGCCAGACCTTCCGATTAACGGCCAACCCGCGCTACCTCCTGAGCCACAGCCGCCCCAACATTGACAATTGACAATGCAACATTTTACCATTATGTTTAGTTATTTATTTTACACATTTAAATTATGATTGTCATATTATAAACAGTTTTAGAATACTTACTGCAATTGTATAATTTGTCTGGGCATTAATTGCATCCCTCAGTCGTTTAATTTTTTCTGAATCCTGTTGGAGAAAAGTAAATAACAAAAAATTAAATACAAGGCATTTTTCACAATGTACAAAAATAGAGCAGTACAGCCAGTAAATTCATTTTTTATAGACCCGTTAAATCTGCAGGGAGATCATCTGTTTGAATGGGGACACTAGACTTGGCCGGCCGATGTGGCTGGTTGCACCTGTTTCATTTAAGCAGGCGTGATGAACAGCAATGTGGGAGTTACTCAGTAATTGGGGTCAAAGTGAGAAAAATGACTCACGGTGAAAGTGGCCCTCTCATCAGTCATGGATTTCACAAAGGCCAGGGCCTCAGGGGTGGCAGAGCGAATGTTATCAACCCGACCATCTTGGAAACGCCGAATGGACGCACTCTCGTAAGTGGACACGAGCCTTCCACCGCATCTGAGAATATGACAGACATGATCACGGCAATATCAGCATATTTCAAAATGCATTTTAATGGCCAAAAGTTCTTTCATGAAATTTTAAGATATAGATCATGAATACACTTTACTTGTAAAATGCAAGTTGTAAGGCAACTTGTATAAACGCATCTGGACTCATCTTCTGGTTTTTGATAAATTCTTTCCCATAAACTTTGAAGTTGAAAACGTCCATGTCAAGATTATTCACCAACCTGAAGGAGAAAGCACAGAGGCTATGAAAGACCTGTAATTATTTGTTGATATGTTTATGTGTTAGTTTGTGTTGGTCTTGCCTCTGGAGTCTGTCTCCGGATGCTGCTAAGAGTCCTTGCATGTGTGAGTTACATTTCCAGAGCAGCCTTCTCGGAGGGGGAAGCTCTCTGATACTGGACGCTCTCGCCATCTTGGAGGGACTCCCTGTTCTGTTCAGGACAACAACAGCACTTCCTTCACTTTTGGCCTCAGCAGAACTCTCAGAGACAACAATATTCAGTGTATGGTTATATCTTGCTGCGATGGGCTGACTTACATGTATTTCATCACATATTCAGAGCACTGCACAAGAACTATTCCCTCAAATGCTGAATGCTCGCACACAACTCCACATATCCCGTCCATTCCTACAACAAACTGAGAGAAGGTGGATTAGCTAATAGAGCAAACCTCTGCATTCATGGAGGATGGAAGTGCCTTTACCGTAGTCCTACCTGCATTGACTTGTCGTACCAGCGGTTTGCCCCATTCTTCTCACGGCCTCCACCATGCAGCATCAGCAGAGCCCTGTTGGTATCACTAGGCCCCAGGCCACTGGGCTCATCCAGACACACCACACACAGACAGCTCTCAATCAGGGCAAGAGAGTCCTTGTTTGTTTGATCTGGGTAGAGCAGGGAAGGAGGTAAGAAATGTCTTGGTTTATATGTCTGAAAGTTGTTTACAGTTGTTTAAAGAGAGCTCAAAAATTTGACCTTTTGTTAGTGCATCTCTAGCTTGTGCCCATTCTGTTCTCCCGTCAGATGTCAGGATACCGAAGGGAGGGAATCTCTCTTCAGCATTTTCTGCCATTTTCCATATTTTCTCCAGCTGGGATAAGATCTCCGTCTCGTTGAGCTGCTTGCTGTTTGCGACTACATCCAACACGAAAAACTAATGAGAAAAACAAATTACAGATGTGTTTCTTAACTATTCCAGTATGTACTGTTATAGTGAAAACTTGTGTTTAGATGGTATTTTTGCTCGATAACAGTCCTTTATATCTGAGCTTATTGTTACGGTGGTATAGTATTTGAACATCTGAGATAAACAGGAGGCTATTAATAATAGTAGGGACTAAATATGGCCAATTGCGACTTAAAATATGGCTCCTCCACTGCGATCAGTTAAACATGCGCCTCAAGGAAGCTCTCAAAGAGAGAGATTCAATTAACAGTAATTTAGTTAACTGCCTGTATCTCCATAGGGACATGCCCTCAAATGCTACAGATTGATAGTTCCCTGAACCATTTCCAGGTGAGAGCTCCTACTGTGCCTTTTTCCATGGTAATTGAAAGGCACAATTTGTGAGATAAATGTACATTAGCAGTCAGGACTCAAAGATAATCAAAGACTACAGATTGTAGACTGGCTGGTTTGGTACTAGTGAATTTGGGAGCGGCTAGTGTGGTCTTAAAGAAACAAACTAACACAAGACCAAACTAGACAACCACAATTTTTAATGATGCATCAGTTTAGAAACACACAAAATTCAGATTTTGTATCTATAACTAGGATTAGGACTGTATATGGATGTACCTTAAAAATATAAGGTCAGCAATTTGCAATCTTTAGCTTTGCTACTTTGCTTTGTCAAATTAATAAAACAGTATATTGGTGTCTTTTGTCTGATTTGGTCTGTCAGAAAAGCAACTATGTTCAGACCAAAGCAACATAGTCTTCATCCTATTATGTTTGGGGTACTACAACTTAAATTCACAAAGCAGCTGGGAGAGTCTGGTTGGAAAGAAGACTCTCTCTCTCTCTCTCTCTCTCTCTCTCTCTCTCTCTCTCTCTCTCTCTCTCAGCTCCTGCTGTGCTTGTACAGCTTCACTGTGGCTCAGAAAGACAGAAAAGACAAAAACATGGCCATTGTACACTATCTGTTTTTTTATTTTTTATTTTAATATTCAAATAGACACGCTAACGTCCTACATATTATATTATTTGTGCAGTTTCATAAAGGAACAGTGTTTTCAAATTGAACTACAAAATGCAGCCATGCATACTCTGGTTTTGCTTTCTTGTCACTTTAAAAATGTAAATTATAGATAAAATCAGTCAACTAATTATTCACTAATATAAGTCATATTGTTTCTATACTTTTTCAGTGTAGTATTTTGTGTCTTCCAGTATGGTTTCTCCCCCTTTTTGCAAACTGTATTACAACTATTTGTTTTGTGATTATATGCTTATTTATTTAATGTAGACATCTCTCATCTCTTCAAAGTGAGACGTGTTTATAGTTAAGCGTTTCATACATTTAATGTCCTTACATTTCTTACTGTCTGTTACAGGAAAACAAACCTTATATTCAGGACAGATAAGCTTCAAAAGGGTTGAAAGCAATGGTCATGATATATCAGTAATACATTACATTCACAGACGGCACCTAGACAGACTAGATGCTAATATGTTTATTGTAGACAGTTTAGATGCTCAGAATAGTCCTGTACTTTGAAATCTGATGAAGGAATAGTTTATCTGCACTAGAGGCCAGTATTGCTGCATGAATAAATCACCCATATCTCTGGTGTTAAGAAAAAGGCATTCAAACAAAAAACAAGTCATGCTTTTGTCTGACGTACTGACTCTCACCTTTCAGCATCTGTCTAGAAGCTGAATATACTATTAAAACTTACATTTACTTATATTTTCTCTCAAATAGACGGGACACTGTCTCCAGTTAGAAGTGTGATGGAGTGTGAAAAATCTTCTCAGAGACCGGGGTCCTGACCTGGTTCTTGCACGCCACGATGATGTGCTCCGGCGCTGAGGAGGCTACATTCATCTGGACCTTCAGTGTGTCTGTCTTTAACCCCGGGTAGCGGTAGGAGGTGAAGAGGCGGTAGTACTGCTCCATGCACAGAGGGGTCCCAGCTAGCTGGCCTCGAGCAAAATCCACTGGCAGCGCTCGCCTGAGAGACATTATTACGCTCATCAGATTATCTCTGAAGACTCACTTTATCACTTATTATATTTATTTTCAATCTTAAATCCACTGACTTTCCATTGCGGAGATAACATACATGAGGTGTGGTACATGCAGGGTGACAGGTAATCCATTACAAGTTACACTTACGCATCAATGAGAGCCTTATAGTCCAGCACTCCTCTGATGAGACGACCTGCAAATCTTAAAAGAGTGAGAAGGTACATTAAAAAACAGGCCACACAGTTTGCTATAAAACACTGAACATGCACAGTGGACTGACCAGTGATTATAATTACATGTACTCTCATCTCTCAAAGGACTAACAGTAATCACTTTATGGTAAATTACTAGGATACAGCGGGCAAGCTGTGTGTGTTTATCTGTGTTAGTGATAGAGAGCCAGTCTGTATGTGTGAGTGGGCGGTGTGGGCAAATAGGGAAAACACAGAGCCCTGTCAGGTCTTATGTTGTATGTCATTTGTCTTGGTGTTATTACGTTCAAAGCCAGATCAATACAAAGGAGGCAGCCGCAGTGCACCACACCCCTAAATGAGTCCTGACTAGCAGTCTCTGCGGAGAGCTTGGTCCTGTCACTCCCAATCTAATAACTGTCTGTGTCAGTAGATTACCAGCTTGGGGTGCTCTGGAAATATTCAGTTAGTGTGACACGATCTGACAAAAGCTAATGTTGAGTTACAAGGCTGGATGCACTGGTGTAATGTCTGGTGGGCCACGGTTCATTTAATAACAGGCAGAGATTTGACCAGATGATGACGCCAGTGATTTACTTCATGTCTGTTGTTCAGATCTTTATCTGGGTCCGTGCCTGCTAAGAAGATATATAAACCCTGTCAGTGACTGCAGAACTGCATAGTGTACTATGTACTACTTTGTATTGTTAATGATGGTGTTGCATTGTGGACGGAACACTAATATGTATTCAACCTTTTTGACTGTTGGCATTTAGTGTTTAATGTTTTCACTTAAAGCGGCTTTGAGAACTTGACAGATTGTCAGATGCTCTCAAGCAATCTGCAACCAATAATCTGCGTTCTGCAGTGCATTCTGGGAGTTATGTGATACTATTGGTATTGTGATTAACTTTTTCAGTAGAACCTTGTTACTATTATGTCTTTCTTCTGAAGTTTGAGATGTTCTACATTTTCCCGAAATTGCTTCAAAGTTGCCATAACCATTTTGTTTATTGATTTTAAATTCCGGGTGCAGAGTAACAGCAGTATTGGAGGAGAAGGGTTTCCAACAGTGTTGAAACAATTAGGAGACCCACAGATATTTAATCTGCAACTATTTTGATAATCAAGTAATTGTTTAAGTGAAGGCAAACCAGTTATAGTTTCCTCAGTTGTGAAGATTTGCTTCTTTTCTTTGTCTTACATGAAAGTAAATTCATTATCTTTGGATTTTGGACTGTTGATCAGACAAAATCAAAAGCAGCTTGAGCACGTCAGCCTGGATCATGAGATGAATCAATAATGAAAACTTGAGAAGGAAGCCATTTCACTTTGATGTCTCAAAAAAAAGTGTCTCAATCCAAAACCTGATTTTCCCTCTAAAGTTTCCACAGCTGAAAGAATTTCTGCTTAAATCTAGATGTTCTGTTGTATATACATCTTTTTCATATTATCTTTCATATTGCAATAGCTGTTTTTTTCAGTAGAAAGTGATTTAGGATATAGTTTTCTTTTTAATTTACTTTTCATTGAGTAGTGTCTATAAGAGAAACACCTTCATCACAGTCTCTGGTGCATCACAGCTAACGAGGGAACGGGAAAAACTGTGAACGTTTTACAGGATGAACAATAGCAGAACCAAAAGTCCAGCACATACCTGAGGGCGTCTTTATGATCTCTGAATGTCTGCTTCGGAAACACCATGACAGGACTGGAGTTGACCGGTAGAGCTAACCTGTTGTTCAAGTACATGTCCTCCAGCCAGTAGTCATAGACCTAAACAAAAGCACAGGGATGGTTTTTGAGAAATGGTGCTTTGTTAAGCGTTTTGGACTCAAGTTATTACTCTCAGAGTTGAGACTGGTGTGCAGTGGGGTAAAGAACCATTACATTGTATCACTGCCAGATGAAAAAGGAGAGAGTTGGTGTAAGAGTGGGAGCGTGATAGATTTCACAGAGCTGGATGAGTTGTGGACTGACCAATCACCCAGGCGCAGGAGGAGAGATTGAAGCAACAAAGGACGAGCAGAGTCTCCAATAAATCTTTATCGCCAGGTGTTTCACTTTTTCCAGCTCTTACGGGTTACGTATTACTTTATGGTCTCTGAGACTAAATCTGAGGTACCTAAATAGAGCAGATACAGAGTGAAAATACTGTATCGTAAAAGGTCAAATTTAATAAATTAGATTAAAATGATAATGAATGATACGAAAAGTATATTGCTTGAAGAAAAATTCATTAGACACTTAGACACAGGGGGAAATTGAGTAGGATATGTGTTTTTTTTTCTTTTCCCCGGTTAATGCATGTATGGCAAAGAGCAGCAGTGTTTTTTTTCTTTACCCAGTTGGTCGTCTTGTCCCTCCTCTCTAGAAGCTTTTTCTGGAGAACCTCTCCCACACCTCCGGGAGCCCCAAACTTCTCCACGATGGCCTTTGTTTTCTTAAACTGCTCCTCTTTCACCAGGTGTTGGACACACTTCAAGTATGTGTCGAGGGTTTGTTTCAGTGGTGGCACAGGGACCTTTGGCAACACCTGATGTCATAAAAAACGCACCTGATGTGGTAAAAATCCTCGTAACGATTTACAAGTAATAAAAGAACAGCATCTGTTTTTTATGTCCTTCCCCCCAATTCACTGAGGGTTCATTAGTTAACGGGATAATTCCCTCACATCTTTTCTTTATGCTCATATTATTAGAACCTCAGTTAATAATTCATCTTAAATGCTTCGAGTGTTTTCAAGTCCCACAGCCTCGTGGGACTTGAAAACACTCTTGCTTTTGAAAGATGGAAAATTCTAATTGATTATCTTTTCTATCTGATGTTTGATCATTTGCATAATGGTACTTAGTAACCCAAGATGTTAATATTGACCAGTATATAGGAATTGTAAAATAAGTTGTCTGATGGCGGATTCCTGGAAATGGGGACTGTGCAGAATTTCTTTTTTCCATTTTTTTTTTCAAGTTATATAAAATGTTGCCCCGGAAAAACAAACAAACAAAAAATAATATTCAGTTCAGAAATGATCAAACCCTAGTTAACAAAATGCATACTGCAGTATAATCCACCACTAGTTTAATGTTGATTAAATGACCGCACACAAAAAAGACATGTACTATGTTGTGGAATAAGTGTTATGATTAAGTAAATGTACTAATACCACACTGTGAAAATACTCTTCCACAGGTAAAAGTCCTGCATTCAAGGCCTTACTTAAGTAAAAATATGCAAGTATTATCAGTAAAATGCACTTAAAGTACCAATAATAATTCAATGCAGAAACATTCTCCTTGTCAGTGTTTCACTATCATATATGTTGTTTTTTTTTCATATTACTGGTGCATTCATGCGTAGCCTATGCTACATTTTAATGCTGTAAATGTTTAATGTTCATTTTGTTTGGTCGTTTAATCTACAGACACGCATCATATTCTATAGTATCTCTAAAAAGTCAACTTTTCATGAGCTCAGAAAAACAGCCCTGTTTTCAGCTTTGTGAGTTTGTGCATTTTTCAGCTAGACCAAGTTAGATTTATATATTGTTTCAATTGTTTATTTCTTAACACATAAAAAGAAAAATTCTGATTCAAAATCACCAAATTTGGAAATATATGCTTTTACTGGTAGGTAATAGTAGAAAAAGAGTAAAGAGTAGGTAATATGCAAAGTAACTAGTAACTGGCTGTAAAGTATTTTGTCTAAGAGATGTAGTGGAGTAGTAGTTCTAGAAGTATAAAGTAGTATACAAATACAAGTACCTCAAACTTGTACTTAAGTAAAGTGTTTGAGTACATTTACTGTACATGAATTTAACTACTGACTATGTCAATGTTTGGCATGAGGTTTTACACCTCTGAAAGATAAACGGCCTGCTATAATTTCCACCCCTAGCGGTCAGTTAGCGTAAGTGAATCTGCCGCTGTCCGTGGTGCTGAAATTCAGCACAATTACTTAGTCAACTTCAGGACCATGGGCAACCCTAAAAGTGAAGAAAAACCCTTTCATCATAGAAGCAATGATATGTTTTCCTACTTGGCGGTCTCGGTCTGTGGCCGTCTCTTTCTCCAAGATTGGCATGTTTGCATTCCAGTGTAGAAACCCTTTAGATATGGTCTGAGTTCTGCCTCCCCTGCACAGAGCATGTTAGGAAATGTGAGAAAGAAAAATAAATACAGTAAATAGAGGTAAGCCTACTGAGCAATGGAGCTACAACGTGCTTTCTGAAAGTGAACCAACAGGCTTCCATTCTTCATCATTTTGAAGCCTAATGCAATTTCCTGCATGTCCTTGGATTCCAGTTGCGCCTCATCGCTCACCACTGCAAATAGACATGCATCTTAAAAACTCATTCAACATCTGGTTCAGTCTTAAATGCTCAATTGCACCTTAAACAAATAAACATTTTAGCCAGTAAAAGAAGAAAATGTACTTATTTTTCGGTTTCGGTTTAGATTTTTAAAGGCATTTTAATAAAATAGTGCCAATATCTTGAAACAAAAAATAGATATAAAATTGTAGATAAATCTGTACTATTGAATGCAAGTTGGTAAAAACAAGTTCTACGTTGGCAATTGTATTATTTGAAAGTGAAAAAAGTTACCTTACCTGATCAGTGCACCACTCAGGAGGTCAGAGAAGTCTGTGGAAGTTCACATGGAAGTCCTCCCACGTTCGCGCCGTCAGATCCCATATTACTGTAAAGTTCCGTGCAGGCGCCGGACCGCTCCCCCGTCCCCTCGCCTCGCCATAAGGCTGTGACTCCACATGCGCTTTGGAAAAGATGCTGAAGGTGTTTGCGTCCACCTACCCCCTTGAGGCAAGAAACTCCTCCCATCGAAATCCATTCGAGGAACATATTATCTAACAGCTTGCTCCCCGTCCCCTCCCCCGCCGCCCACATCTGATAATAATTTTCATATATAAAAAAGGAGTGAGAGTCGGTTTTTGGTGGGTCACATGGGTCCTGTGGTGGTCCTGCAGGTCGACGGGGATAACAGTTGCTGTTCAGGTTGAAGTCTTACGCTTTCTGCAGAGTTTGTCAGACTGACTTTGCACAAAACAGGATGCCTTTGCGCAGGAAATCAATATGTTTTGCAGCTGTGGCCTAAGTATTGCGCATTGAATCTGTTCATTCACATATCGTTTTCATATTGTGGCTAATGTGCTCTGTCCTTTCCGGGTGTGCTTGATTTTGCAGCGTAAGAGAGTGGCAACCTGGAAATCAAAAGTATGAATTACAGTTTGGAATCATTCTTTTTCATTAATCAGTGTTTTTTATAACGTTTTTACCTTACATGTAGAGTAAAATTAGATTAGTCTTTTCCTAAAATGTGGTTTAATTACTCCTTGAAGAGCAGTGTGGAATTTTAATCCCTTTTATGTTCTGAATTTATTATATTTACAACGAAAGAAGTTCCACACTTAATGTGTTTGTATTCGTTTGAAGCTTGAAATAAGAATGAAATTACCACCGTCACACAGATCCAAACAGAGATTTATTAAAACCACAATTGATAAATGAATACATATTTGTTCTTCTGTAGGAGACTGACTTCATTGGCTACGTCTTGACAAAATGTTTCAGACATACACGCGCGCACACGCACAAACACACACACTTTGAAGAGGTCCACGTATGTTTTAACAATTTACATTGTGCATGTATCCACATATGTACAAAATCCATATATTTATGATACATTTAATTTTCAAACAACAAAAATACGCCTGAAAGAAAAACAAATAACAAACAGGCCCACGTGTTACAAAATTGAAATTCACGAAATCTTTAACAACAAAAAAAAGGAAATCAGGCCTTTGATGTGCAAGTAAAAAAAGTTTCCTCAGACTAAAAATATAGGCTATTTTTGTGTAAGGTGGGGAAATGTGCTGCTTATAGTTGGTCCCATATAATCTTGTACGCACATTTATCTATTTATATCTTTTTACAATACTCAGTGATACACACAAATTCAACAGTAGCTGATAAATCTCTCACAAAACTCCAGTTACACGTCCATGACAAACGCTACATAGACTTGTTCGACACAATGAAATCACAGTCAAAAAGAAAAGATAAACTTTGGAAAACGAATCACGCGATCTTGAGTTTGATGATTGGGTGTTTATATTGCACGTCGGTACTTACATAAAAGTTTAAATTACTAGACTATAACCTGCCTGTCTCATCTCTCCAAGGGGAATGTTTTGGGGGGCGGTCAGAGTGTGGTCGGTCTAAGTGTATTCAGGACCGGACGACTCTTCTGACAAGGACCGCTGTGCTCCGAAGGGTTCAAACCCATTTTCATCTACCGACAAGCAATTCCCTGCCGAACTGTAGCCCTTCTTTTTAGCTCTCCTCTCCTCCATCTTGATAGTATCGTACAGCCCCTGCGGAGCCTCCTCTAACAGGTTATCTCTCTCTGAGTAGGACGGTTTCATTTGGCACACGTTGCGCAGTAGCAGTAGGGCTGGTGCGTAAAGCACATTGACAAGGCCCATACCCAGATTAAGTTGTACAAACCCATGAGTGTGCACTATCTGGCCGGCTACTATAGGACCCATAGCATATGCGACAGAATAGGAAATATCTGCTATAGCATAAACACTACCATACACTGAAGCATGACGCACATCAACTAAAAACGCAAGTGTCGGCAGGAGGGCAGTGTCTACCAGTGCAATGCCAAAACAAATGCCGCATAATGGGGCGATGAGCTGCCCAAAAGTTTTGCATGCAGGGACTGTGCAGGAGCTCGCTCCTATGATAACCATACCCAAAGCTCCGTAGAACCACTGTAAATTCGGATGCTTTGCTGCCAATTTAACTGTTATGTACACACCGAGGACATGAGGGAAGAAGGCTGGGAGCCAGGTGAGTCCCATCTCCCACTGAGTGGAGTGCATGGTGGTCTCCATCCAGTTGGCTATGGTGGGCTCTAGAAAGGCCAGGGGGATGTTGCACACTGTCAGCGCCCCGGCCACCACAGCTATGTACGGGTCAATCATGAGTCTGTATATGGGGGTGCCGACTGGCATGTTCTCTCTAGTCCTGTTGGAGAACGGCTTGATCACTGTCAGCAGCAGAAAGCCGTCCGCCAGGCAAATGCAGGCGAGCACGATGAAGGGCACTTTCTTGCCCGCAAACTCGTACAAGATGCCCCCGAAAGGAGGCGCCACCAGACTCCCGAAAGAGATAAACGCCAGAGCGATGCCCAGCGCCGTGCTTCTCTCTGACTCCTCCGTGTATTTGTCAGCTATCATCGCGATTCCAGAGGTGTCCGCGAAAGCAGACCCCAGACCCTGCAAACTTCTAGCCACGAAGAGCGTGGCATAGTTCTCCGCAAAAGCAAATATGCAGGTGGACACGAACATAACAGTCAGTCCTATTAAAAGTGGAATGTCATATCCAACCCGGTCTATGAAAGTTCCCGACAGCGGGTTAACTAACAG